GCAGGTGGTGGAGAGGCGGGTCCACCAGTTTAAAACAGGGGCCACACAGAGACACACAACCACCACACAGATATTGACTCCCAGGGCCAGTTCGGTGTCCAGTCATCCTGCCTGTGTGTGAGATGTGTGTGTTATTTATGGGGGGGTTGCTTTTCCTGTGTCCTCCGCAGGTACACTCTGACGGTGTGGACGGGGGAAAAGGATGACTTTGCCCTCCGGGACCTGCTGCCCTACAGACAGGAGTTCCACCTGAGCAGGATCTACTACGACCTACCCGACCCCGTAAGAACCCAGCTGGGGATGGCGTCACGACACCAGAGCACCGACGTCTGAGAGGCCTCCCCCCCCCTGAATCTCGCAAGAAGACTGTGCAGGTCCATCTGGACATCTGGAATATAGCAGCTTCATGCTTTCTGCTCTGTTACGCCCAAGTTAGCTAAATAAGCCAAGTATCACACTTCATTGTAACTAGAATATATTTCTACTGATGTTTTCTCCTGCTTCCACTAAAGGCCCAGTCCCAGTATCTGTGTCTTTCAGTCACATACAGGTGGCCGTTTACCCATCAGGCACCTGTGCAGCAGTAGAATAGTAGAATCTGTGATTGTAGGTGTGATGGGGTGCAGTACTTCTGGATGAGCCCTTTGGGTTTTTCCAGGGCGTCCTGCCTCAGTCCAGTCTGGATTCTCTTTTAGGAATCCTGAACGGTTAATAGACCTGATTCTGGTTTAAACTAACAGGTTTACAGTAAATATTTACTCACTTTTAGCACACTTAGTGTTTTATATAATGTGAAATCTGAACCAACCTGAGAACTCCTGGATCAGAATGTGGCCCCGTTTCAGCCTGAAAAACCACACGTGGGTAAGAACTCGCAGGCCAGTAGGACCACTTGGTGTTACTATTTGGCTAAATCAAGAGTTTTGAATAGTAACCCCAAGAGTTTTTGCAAGCTTGTAAAGCCGTTAACGGCTCCTGTGTATCCCCACAAGCTAAAAACCCACAAAACGCTCTCACCTGGAGTCTAACACGTGTATTCCAGAGCATGGACTGCTGACCTACTGGCAGAAACAGAGCCCCCAGAATCAGACTGCTGCCCCTTTGAGCAGGAGGTGCTACCTGTGGGTCCGGCTGCTGGGGTGGAAGCCCCTCAAACGGCCGCAGGTGGACGCAGGCGTGGCTGAGTGGCTGATCCGGAACTGTCCGCGAGGCGGCACAACACCAAACATGACGGCAAAGGAAATTCAGCACAGGTTTTTATTCACAGTCTGAGTACGGTACACGTCCCCCCCCCGCCACGGTGGCCGATCACGGCTGGATGCTCTCATAGACCTCGAATCTGTACTGGATGCCATTCTCCTCCTGAAGGCCGGACGGCACTCCCGGAAACCTGAAGAGGACAAGAGGTCAGTCGGTGTGGATGCCTTTGACATTCGGTGGAAAGCGGTCACCAGCGTCCTCCTTAGTGTTTGACCTGGACCATGGGGTGAGGGTCTTACTCTGGCAGCAGGCGGTATTTGTCGGGACTGATCTCGGGCAGGAAGGTGTCGCTCTCAAACCGCTTCAGGATCCGGGTCACGAACAGCCTGATGGTCCCGGGCGTCTCCATTAACTCCTGGGGGGGCAAAGACGGAAGAGAGGAGGACGCATCACAGAGCAGCATAGTCCACTAAAGACTGTAATCTTCTTCATGTTGGTTCCAATGAAAATAAATTATCCAACGTGTAGAATGACATCATTCAAAGACGGTGAAAGAAGTACAGTAGATCCTCTACATACTAATTTTTTCCAGGACCTACTTTGTATGTTAAAATATTGGTATGTTGGTTAAAATATTCCTATAAGAATACACTGTAATTCGTTCCAAAAACCTACGATAACTCCTTAATAAATACTGCAGATAATCACACATAGCAATAAAACAAATGCATTATATAAGTAAGATGTAAAAAGAAATAAATGATAAATAAATAATCAATAAAAAGGTTTTTTTTATTGGCACTTTACCTTAGAGACTGGTGAACGGAAGTGTAGGAGGTAGAGGAGGAGACTGAGATACAGGACGAACTCTAACTTACTCTGACTTTCACTAATTTAACTTTAAACTAACTTAGCTTTTTTTTTTTTTTTTTTTTTTAAATTATATCTATGACTTGGACGTCATACGTTGGAAACATCGGGTGTGGAGTGGAATATTTGGTTGAGTTTCACTCTGGATGTTGGGAGATGCGGCGTGTGTGTGTGTGTGTGTGTACCTTGTAGAGGGAGCTGCCCCCGATGATCCAGACCTGGTCGGCGGTCTCAGCCAGCTGTGTGTCCACCAGCCGGAGGGCGGAGCTGAAGTCCGACGCCAGGTGGTGGGCTCCTGCAGGGGGGGTCCTGGGGTGTGTTAGTGGGTCTGTTACTGGACGGACGTATGAGTGTGTGTGTATGTTTTGGTATGTGTGTTCACGCATGTTAGTGCATGTGTGTGTGCGTGTTTGTGCGTGCGGATGTGTGAGTGTGTTAGTGTATGGGTGGTAATGTGTTTGTCTATGTGTTAGTGTGGGTGTGTGCATGCGTTAGTGCGTGTGTTGGTGCATGTGGGGTTAGGGTCTGTGTGTATGTATTAATGGGTGTGTTATTGAATGTGTTAGTGTGTTTGCGTTAGTGTGTGTGTTAATGTGAGTGCGGATGTGTTAGTGTGTGTGTGTGTGTGTGTGTTTGACATACTTGCACTCCCGGCTGAGAACGATGTTGATCCTGTTGCTGAGCGGTCTGTTCCTCTCTGGGATGGAGAACCAGGTCTTCCTGCCCATGATCACCACGTTCTGCTTTCCTGAGGCACAGAGGGGACGGAATTCACCCGGTCACCCGTCCACTCTGACCTTTAGTCACCACCTCACGGGGCATGCCAGGTCTGGCCTTTCTCATTCACTGGTAAAAGACCAGATCTTTCAAAGCTGCATAAAGCGAGTTCTAAAGGCCATAACACAGATGCTGAGTCAGCGACAAGACCAGCGGTCAGGATCTGTAACCGGCCACCACATCTGGACTCCCACGTGTTTATCTGTGCCATTCACAACCAGGCCAGGCTTTAGATACAGAAAAGAAGCCATTAGGACCTCTTCTAGCCAAAGGTGTGGAGCTTTCCGGGGGACTTTAGACATTTTTAAAGCTCACATGCTTGAGGGTCAGCCGGAACAGGGCGGTCATTCCGCCCGCTTTGCCGTGTCAGCGCTTTCAGCTGGAGGTCACATGCAGTTTCTGCCCCTTTACGAGCTTTATCAGCTGCTCGGACCCTCAGAACACAGAACACAGCCTCACGTGACTCGGCTTCCCTCTCTGGGAAGCGTCGGCCATGACTAATACTTCACTGGTTACCCCTGGTTACCCCCTGGTTACCCCTGGCTGCCCGCATCAAACCCAAATCCCTGATGCTGGCCTACAAAGTCTTTAAGGGGACGGCTCCCGTCTGCCTGAACCGTCTCTCAGAGGCTCATGTCCAAGCTGGTCCCTCTGGTCATCAGCAGGTTGTGGTCCAGCAGAGCTGACCCACGTTAAGACAACCAGACTGTTTTCAGATGTTGTTTCAAGATGGAGGAAGGAGCTACCAGGCCTACCAGACCAGCAGGTCCCTGTATGTCTTCAGGAAACTCTTAAAAACCCTCCTCTCTACAGAGCAGCTCCTATCCCGACTCTTCCCCAGACCTCTGGACCCTCCACTCCTCTTTCTGGGCTTCCCTCCATCTCTTTGCTGTCTCCACTGACTCTGATTGGGGATTTTCCTCCAGAGAACTTATGATAACTTTAACATTGTGTCTACTTTGTAAGTTGCTTTGGATAAAAGCGTCTAAATGCAGAAACATAAACACTCTGTCTCCTCTCCGGGTTCTGAATCCAGCCCGGATCTGGAAGTCCTACCGGCTCCGACAGCCGTTCCACACCTCCGGCTGTTAATGACTAACTGCCCCGCGGATAAACCGGTGACCTCCGAACGTCGGACCCGAAACTTTCCGGCCTCACCGGCCACAGGGGAGCAGCTCCCGGTTACCTTCAGCGGACGAGGTCGCTGTCATCTTCCGAAAGTGGGCGAACTCGTTTCTGGAAAATGAGAAGAGAGAGCCCATATCAACCGAGAGCTCCGGTCCCGTGACAGCCGCCGAGACCGGAACCGGAGCCGGAGCCACCGGCTGGACACCGGCGGGACTTACGCGAGTCGAACCGGGTGCCAGGGCAGGTTTCCGTTCATCCCGATGCCCAGGTCCGGACACACTGCCACGATACCGTTCAGAACCCGGGACATGGCTGCAGGTAACTTCTGACTGAGCTCACTTTCCCGCCTCACGCATCCGCCGGAAATGACGACAGAGCAGGCGGACCAATAAATTCCATTGGACCCCATAAACATTTACAGTCTCTACATATACTGTATGTATGTCTATGTCATTGTTTCCCAACACCAGCTCCAGCACACCTGATTCTAATGAATGGAACGAGTTTTCAGCTATGCAGAAAGCTGCTAAAGTCCCATTCATTGACTTCTGGACTCTTAAAATGAAGGTGACCATCTTAATTGGTAGTAGAAGTGTGATAAAGTATTTTGTTCGTAGAGATGCCATAACCTTTATTACAAACCTGTTTATTTAGTATGGCAAATTTCACACGAAATATGCAAATACTCCAAAACTCTACCCAACATTATGTTTCTTGCATGAGTTTAAAGAGTGTATTAAATGCCTTAAACTAATTGACACTAAACAAAGCACTACATCTATAAAGATATATATATATATATATATATATATATATATTTATATATATATATTTATTAAGATTTAATTTTGTTTTGTCGTTTTATCCGTTTATGTTTCTGCATTTACACGCTTTTATCCAAAGCGACTCACAAAGCAGACACAATGTTACAGTTATCAATTTGACAATAACTTCTCTACAGGAAAATCCCTGGTCAGAATTAGTGGTGATTATCTTTTATTTCTGATTTGCTGACATTACCAAAAATATTATCCTACAATGTTTTATTTACTCTCTATTTAGTTGATACATAGCAGTGGCGGCTGGTGAAACAAAATCTTGGTGGGGCTGTTGTGCCAATATATTTCCCTGCCTAACCCAGTACATGCATTCAAGTTAAAAGTCGTAAAATTAGTACAATTCCACAATAATGATTTAATTCCCTTATCAGAATCAGCAGTTTACATATACAGTTAACCATTTGAAGCTATATTAGGTCTTATTTTGGAAGGGAACAGTATGAAATACAACACTCAATTTTACTATTTTTCACCAAACACACAAAGTAGGCACACAGGTGGTTAGCTTAACACAGTTAGCTTAACACAGTTTTCCATATAACCTCGTGATATTTCATGTTTCTTAGTTGTTCAGAGAGGTGTTTTAAGTCTGTCTGTCCAGACTGTGTCCACGTCAAATCACTCCGGCCACTTTTAAAAGGGATGCGGGAAAAACATAACTGCGTTGGCCGTCCCACCGGCTGTCAGCCAGGGCTTAGGCTGGAACAAACTCCTGTTAAAGTGCCGGCTGTGGGACTTAGCTTCTTTACGTTTAATTTTTCCACCATTGTCCTTCTCACGAAAGGAGAACTCAGTAAAGATCTCACTGAATTGTGTGAAAGCAGCTCTACAACTGTCGCCGTCGCCGTAATCTCTACGTCACAGCCTGACTGACCAATACCTACACGTCTATGGCTTTGGGGCGCCAGCTCCAAGCGCCCCAAAGCCAATAATTTCGGCGATGCTGATTGGCCAAATATTTATTAATTTTCCCTAGCAACATTTTTCGATTGGTTATTTCGCTGCACTTCTGGGGCGCTGGGGCTAGCGCCCCAGAAGAGAAACGATACGTTCTGTGGGTGGAAATGCACCGTTGAATGAAAGTCAGTTGGGGGAAGTGTTGTTTTAATAATTCATATTACATGTAGCCACATATTATTAAGTAAAACTGACATTGATAATACTTTCAAAATAAATATATATATTATAACTTTCCCCCTCCACATCTAGGGGGGGCGGCGCCCCAGCGCCCCCTATGGGCCGGCCGCCACTGATACATAGATATTAGAGCACGTGTCTGCTGTTTATAATCAATTGTTTGTATGTACACCCTGTATAAATAAAGTTAACTGAAAAAGGCGGGCCTCATCAGCGCCCCCTGGTGGCCCTCCAGTGCCCCCTCAGCCTCCAGCATGTTTAGAGGAGGTTCCGTTCTGACACTTAAACAGGATTAAACCTTGGGTTTACTCCCAAATTCCAACAGGGAAGCACACGACAGCCACACACAAGCTAAGAAATACAAAAAGCTTTTTTATTGGTCGCGTTTCAGTCATGGCCTGTCTGACACAGTGCTTTTCCGCCCCTCCCTCCCTCCCTCCCTCCCTCCCTCCCCCCCCGTCCCACCGCCGGCCAGCCGGCCTCCCGGTCACTGAGGGCTGTGTGTGTGGATGCAGCCGGGGCAGCAGTGCAGCGAGTCGTGGATGAAGAGGTCACACTCCGTGCAGAACACGCCCTGACACGACGGACAGGTGAACGTCTAACGGGGGGGAGAGAGACGGGACAGAGGTTTGGACCACTGAGGAACCCATGACACGGACACAGACCTGAAAACTGCCCGTGTGCTCTCAGTGAGGCTACTCTGACCGCCTGGTGTCGCCTGACCCCTGACCCCAGGGCTAAGTGACCGCCCACATCATCAGTGTCCCTGTTGATCCTCCACTTTAGGGTTGTAAATATGGCCAGTGTGCTCAAACTGTAGCCATTTCTGGAATAATGGAAAGAAGAAGACCCAAAAGACCCATCTGAGAGCACCCAGGAACTAACAGGTGACCAACAGATCATTTCAATGGTGCTTTTAAAGCTGCTTATACTCTTATTTTTTCTTATATTAAGACTCACTTTTATTTTCTACATTTTTCTGTGTTGTCTGGGGGGGTGGGAGGACAACATTTTGATTCGGAATATGTCGGAATGTGTATTACAGAATTGACAATACAGCTAACTTTGACAGTTATAATATCAGAGATCTGAGAGACCAATCAGTTTTGTTTTCCCTCCATCAGGGGACAGGTTGGAGTGGGAAAACACTGAGCCCCGACCCTCTAACTGTGGGCACCACGAGGTGTGAGGAAGGAAGGAGGGGTGGGAATTCGCCGCGGCGGGGGCGGAGCTAAAGGTGGACGTCGCTCGCCGGTGTCCACTTACGCTTTTGTCCTTCAGCCTGCCCTGGCACGCTCGGCAGAAGCCGTCTCCCGGGGCTTCCTCCACCGGACGCTCCAGGAACGCTTGGAGGGGGAAAAGGTGGTGGAAAGACCGGGCCAAGTGGGGCGCAGAGACCAGAGTCAGACCTGAGACACACACACACATTAGCATTTAAACACACGGGTGTATGAAGGTACCCCTCCCTCAGACTCACCGCAGACTTTACACTCCACGGGCAGTTCCGTGTACTTGGCGCGGCACTGGGGACAGAAGTACCCCCCCAGGGACAGGCCTGGACCCCCGCTGCTATCCAGATGACTGGAACACGGAGGCAAAGGTCAGCAGCACGCGGACAGAGAACGACCCCCCCACACACCCCACCCCCCCGGTGAGAGGAGAAGGCCACTTTGGGACTCACGACATGCTGAAGGACGGCCTGGCGTCCTGGTCTGAGAGAGAGGCGATGGTGTGCTGAGGAAAACCTGAGGAAACACACACACACGGACACACACACGGACACACACACACACACACACGAGTGGAAACAATTAGAGAAATCAAGACTAAAATAATATATATATTTTTTTTTTACCTTTCTACCCCTTGTCGGGTTTAGCATTATGGCAACAGAGTTGTAATCTGCTTTGCCAAGGGGGTAGGAAGCCCCCCCTGATCATCCAAAACTGCTTTATTATTTATTTAAGATTGATTTTTGTTACAGAAGTAAGACGGTTAAAGCCAAACCTGACCGGGAGGGCAGGGAAAGATTTAAAAAAAAAAAGGAACAAAAAATGAAATAAAAAAAAAGGATGAGAGAATAGAGAAAAGACAACAATAACCCACTCAGAAAAGAAGAGAGATCCCTAAAACAGGAAAAGAAAGACAGCCAAACCATCCAATCAGCTGCTGTATCTGTAAAAAGATGGCATCTTTCTAAAGAAAATGTTTTTTTAGATCGCCTCACCCATGCGGATGAGGGAGCACTCGGAGGAGCAGCTGGCGGGGGGGGGCTTGACGTGCAGCAGCAGCAGCTCTCTGAAGTGGCTCTCGTCCAGGATGACGTGGTAGGAGCCGCCCGTCTCCCGGGTCAGCACCGTGCACACGCGCACCTCCGCCGACAGCCCGATGACCGACACCCGCACCTTCAGGGCCTTCAGAGACTGGGGGGGGGGCAGAGGACAGCGCCCACTAAATACCGCGCCGTTACACACCACTGTACCGATCACGAAAGACTAGCAGCTAAAAAATGTTTAAAAAGCAGCCTACAGATATTTTCCCCTACGGAAAAGCTTTGATTTAAGACTTAATTATTTTACTCTACTCAATTACAGCTACTGCTCATAGACTTATTTTCTATTTTTACTGCTATCATTATCATTAGTATCCATAACTTTACCATTTTTCATCCGGTCTATGTGTCACTCTCTCCTTTTCTCTCTCTCTCTCTTGCCCTCTCTCTCTCTCACCCCCAACCGGCCGAGGCAGATGCCCCCCCCACCCTGAGCCATGGTTCTGCTCCAGGTTTCTGCCTGTTAAAAGGAAGTTTTTCCTTCCCTGTGTCTCCTAGTGCTGTTCTTGGTGGGAATTGTTGTTCCTCTGTAAATAACTCAGAGTAGGTTTGAGCTGCTCTGTTTGGAAAGCTGGGAGATAACTGTTGTTGTGACGTGGCGCTATAGAAATTTAATTGAATTGAATTATGGTCATTTTAACATTTTTGAAAGGTCCTTGGTATTGATTTGACCACAGTGTGGCTTCCATTTCTGATACTGGTTCTGGACATCTGAACGATGTCTCCATCTCTGCCACTAACTCCAATCGGGTCCTTTTTTTGCCCTGGACAGATGAACCGGGTGCAGGAGCTGAATGAAACGGTGAGGGGGGAGTTTCCGGCACTATTCAGAGGTCAGCTGACCTTAATGAGCTCGTAGATGTTGGAGGGGTCACACGTGGTCAGGCTGCTGAGGATGATGAGGATCTCCCGGCTGGTGTGTCCGGGCATATGCCTTCAGAAAAAAAAAAGAAAAAAAAGAGACAGACGAATCACGGGACGCTTTCCGATGAAACCATTCCAGGAGTCCAACCCCCCCCTCACCCACCGGAGCGTCTGCATGGCGAGGCTGAGCGAGTTGTAGAGGGACGGCTCCCCCAGGCAGGGCGTGTCCACGGCCTTCTTCAGGGCGGCCGCGTGCTTCTTGGGGTTCCCTGGTGGACAAAGAAAAAGCCCCCCATAACCATAAAGCTGCATCTGGGATCTTCACTAGCTAAA